GGTAACAGGCAAATAGGATTTGGGTTTTAGAGTATTCAGGAGAGTCTACAAACTTTGTTGACATCTTTTGTGATGAAGATTAGACTATTTTAGGATTACTGAAATGAAAAGAAATCGAAGAGAACCTATACAACATAATATGGGAAAAGGGCTTATCTCTTTATGCTGTCTCTCTCTCTCTCTCTCTCCCCTCTCTATCTGTCTATCTATCTTTCTATCTATCTATCTACATCTCTATTACTGTTTTCACACTGGCAATATTTTGCTTAACCCCGTACTATAGGTGGGGTTAAGGGGGGGTCTTAGCCCCACCTATAGTACGGGGTTAAGCCTATTCCACTTTCTGTTCAGACTGGTTTTTACCAAAGTGGGCTAAAGTTGGCTAACCCCACCTATAGTACGGGGTTAACTAACCCTGCAAAATAGCAGGGCTAACTCCGCAATTGTGGTGCTAACTCCTGCTAACCCCGCAATTGCGGTGCTAAGCAAATGAATGAGAACAGAAACAAAAAATAGTCCGGTACTACGCAATGGAGCGTATCGCAGCTGGCCAGATGCGAGGTATGTCCAATCATAACATACACGATATCCGGGGTTAACGAAATGCAGTGAGAACAGCGGGAATTTTCTTATTCCGGAATAGGCGCTAGTACGGGACTAAAAACAGCGAGTGTGAAAAGCCAAAAAAATAGTCCGGGGTTAAGGATAGTACGGGGCTAAGCAAAGTACGGGGTTAAGCAAAACCAGTGTGAAAAGAGTATATTAGTATCTCTCTCTCTCTATTTTACTCTCTCTTTCTCTCCCCCCCTCTCTCTCTCTCTCTCTCTCTCTCTATCTCTCGTATGTTTTTTTTTGTTTTCAATCATGGATTGATATTTTAGCATTTTGGAACTGCTTTGTTTGGGAACAGTTATCTTTCAAATTTACTTTATTTATGTTTTCTGTTGCTCTGCTTTGATCCCCATCACCCTCTCCCCTCCTCTCTTTTCCCCAATATCTTTCTTCTCCATTCTCTCTTCTCTGTTTGCCTACCATCTATTTCTCTCACTTATGATCTTTCTCTGTTAAACCATCCCCTATTTTGTCATTATTGTAACTGTTAGTAATTTTGAATGTCCCTGAGGGGATTTATACACCAAAAACGTCATGTATACCTGACTATGAAAAGAGTCTAATGACTTGCCACTTATCTTACACAATGGTACCATTTCCTCAAAAGCTTAAACTGGGCTTCTTTCAATGGCAGAAGGGATTAAATCGCACACAGCAATTTGTATAGGAGTGCTAGAAGGGATCAAATGACATGCTTCAATGCATGCCTACCTAAATATATGTAAAATAGAACTGCTTTCAATTTTTGAAATTTTATACCCAGAAACCATACTGTTCTTTTGATATTCTGTCAACATCTATATAGACTGGGATCGTATGATAGGTTGTGGTAATCAGACTGATATCATTTTTGAATAAGATTTTTAGGTTTGCCAGATCTATGCAACTCAAATATATTGGAAATGATATTTCATAATAATCTATTGACGTTTGAATTCTCTAATTCCCATCCCGGTTCCATTAAGCAAATGGGATAATATCTTGCAATGCTAATTATTCTTTTTACATAGCTCCCAACTGAGTGTTTGTCATGCAAGAAAATGAAAAATTACTTTTGAGAATTTAAAAGTTACTTTCGCTCTTACACTTGTTCCTCTCCTTTGATATAGGCCCCAAATCTTAATGGTATAATGGTTTGGAGATTTGTTTAAAGAATAGTGGAATCAGTTTCACTTTTTATTAGCGTAATAGCTCCTCAGCGCCACTGAATTCCTCAGAGAGGAAACTTGATTCCAACTCAAATAAACTGAAATGACCATGAACTATATCAGATTTCAATTCTGAGCATTTGATCCTTGCATCTTTTTTTTTTATACATTGAGCTGTAGCTTCAGAGGGGGTTGGTTGAGAAACCTTTAATATACTTGAAAAAATAAACATCACCCATACAGTTATTGCGCATATTTAGCTTTATATATGATTTGAAGTAATATCAGTTATTTATTTGTAGTTTTTAGGGTATTTTTCTTTAGCAATGCTATTGCTACCTTTGAAAGATTTGAAAGATTCCTATTCCAGACTTTGTATATAATAGATTCCTCCTATTCTAAAGATGAACAGAATGTCAAGAACTCCAGTTATAATTGTATTTATTCCACAAGTCAATTTATTCATGTCATGCTTTGACAGATAAAATATATACATGTATATATATATATATATATATATATATATATATATATATATATATAGGCGTGAAGAAAAAGGTCTAGGAACATGAGACGTAGCTGTACTTTACAAGTTTATTACGAGCTTTCGGCTTGTGAGGCCTTCTTCAGGTTCTGAAGTGCAAACACATACAAAAACAAATACAAAAACAAATACATTGTAAGAACAAATATACATGGCATACAAACTTAATATCACTCAATCATCATGCAAAACTAACAATAACACTGGGCCACATTGTATGTACCTTGGCACCATGAACTTGTATGATCTAATGCAAGTTAACATTTTTTAATATTTCTTTAATCTTAAGTATGTTGAATATTAATTTAAATTATCTGTATGCGCCTTGAGCATCTCTAGAGATGGATATGTTGCGCTTTATAAATATTGTTATTATTATTATCATGAACATAGTAAAAATTAGTATGATAAATACTTTCGGAATAAACTTAGAAATGATTATGCAAATTCAAATTCAAAGTGTTTTATATATATATATATATTCTTTTTTTGTTGCTTGCTTTCATTTTCATTGAAGAAGCAGTAATTGATTCAAGCTAAAAATCCAAATATTCACTTGTGTAAACTGCATTTGAGGAATACTATAATTATGATTGAATACTATATCTTATATTTAGTTTCTTTCCTCTTATATTTCTTATTCCTCATATTTGTTCTTATTATTATAATTATTAATTCAGTAATTTTACAAAATATAGAGCAATGCCAACAAATGACGAGCACACAGCAATAGACCCAATAATATATATATATATGAATAGTAATCTACTGAGTGCAACACTTGGCTGCTTTTGTCATCATAAAACTTGCACAGTACAGAGCACATAATAATAATAAAATGGTGCTTATAAAGAGAGAGAGGAAATATTTCTAACATTCATGTTCACACATGAACATGAACCATCTGCACATGAAGGTCCTTGAAGGTTTCTTTCTCTCACTCTTGGGAAAAAGAATGTGCCAGGGTAATTAATCCCTTCTTGTTTTGAAACCGATTTACTGCGATTAAGGATTTATTTCATTCCTAGCAACCAAACACAACTAGATATCCCCGCCATTCAAAATCTAGAAAGGTTTACTCGCTGCCATGGTAACCAGGAAAGATAAGACTGGTGCTCAAACCTCCATACCTCCTGTTCCATTGACCCAATGTAAATACAGCCAGTGAGAAATAAAACTAAGAAAAGGAAATGGGGGTTAATGCCTGTGAAATGTGTTCAAGTTCAACATAAAATTTTAAGAATGTTTTAAAGCAAATCTTTTTTTACATTCTAGAATAGATACATGCACAGTTCAAACTACAGGACATTTTATTTTAATCTTATTTAAAGGACAAGGACTATGCATTGGGCTTTAAGTATGTCTGCAGTTGTGAAAAGTATTAAATTTGCTTCTAATTCTGTTGTATATTACTTTACTATTTTTTTGTAATCGGAAAGGGCTATGCAGGGGCTTGAAAGACTCTCCTAGTATCCTGTAATTGAGATCATGCTAATTTATTGAAGTGTATTTTAAATCACCAAAAATCCAAAAGAATTTGCGCTCTTTAATAGATTGGATACTTATATTATAATGAGGCCTTAAGTACCTAATCCTCAGATAAGACTTAGAGCTATGAGTCCCTCAATTTTAGTGTAATTTTCTCAAGCATAAATTATGTAGGTTATTATCTTTACACTGCACATGAATGATCAACAAATAGGAGAGATACAGAGAGAGAGAGAGAGAGAGAGGGGAGGGGGGGGGGGGGGGAGAGTAAGGCTTCCTAAATATGTTTTAAACTTGAACTTCAGACCAATAACATTCCAGCCTTGCCTGTGATTGTAGGTGGCATGTAATCACTTCTGTCAGTATGTTCCCAGCCAGTAACATGACACCCTAAAACACAGATGACGGATTCTTTGAGTATAATCTGAGAAAGTGCTGAAAATATCCAACTGTAGATAGTTTAATCATTGTCCCGTTGCGCCGCTTTGATCACTAGTCCCTCGTGATCATGGGTTTGGACCCACACATTGCAAACTATGTCTGCCTGGATACAGTTTCCAAGGTGGAATTTAATGTTGCAATGCTGGAATGTTTTACCTAGCCGGGCTACGGGTTTGGAAGGAAAGAGGTATTTAATGAGGAGCGACATTGTGCTGATTAGGCAAAAGTTAGTGTTACTTCTGAACTGCTATTCAATACTTTTATAACATTTTGTGATTTTAGTAAAAGTAAATATCATTTCCTTGAGAGGGCTACGTACAACAGTACGTATGTTGTCACATTTTAATTTTTTTTTTTTTTGGGGGGGGGGGGGGCTTTAATTTCTTGATAGATACAAAAGAGTTGGAAAAGATTATGGCCAATTTTTCTTGATGTGGACTCTTCCATGACTGCTTCAACTGTAATGGGCACAAATTCACAAGGGAGAGAGGGAGAGTGATCGGGAGAGTGATCGAGAGAGAGAGGGAGGGAGGGAGGGAGAGAGATCTAGAGAGAGAGAGAGAGAGAGAGAGAGAGAGAGAGAGAGAGAGAGAGAGGGAGAAGAGGGGGAGGAAAGAGCAAGGAAAGGATATTGACACATACAAAGTGACAGAGACTATGGCATATCAAGCAGTGACTTAATGGTCCTCGTAGTATTCAATGTTTTTATTTATAAAAAGATATTCACTACAATCTTCTAATCATTCATGCATCTTCCCTGCCTACAGGAAAGCTTCCAACTGTAATGGGGACAAAGTAACTCTCATCTGAACAAAGATCGACAAAGACAGAGAAAGAAGAAGAGAGAGAGAGAGAGATAGAGAGCACCAAAGATGAATACCTCCGAGGAGAGTGGAGAATGGACTAATCCAGATGGACAGAATGATAGAAGTATGGATGATGAGGAAGAGGAGGAAACTGAAGAAGGTGAGAGCACTTTACAGGAAAAAATGTAAATTTTTAAATGTTTGCCAGAGGTCCCCATAGAAATAGACAGCTTAACAATGTTTGTGATTTGTTGTGTTTTTGTGTTGACATTTGTTATCACAATGTATGCAGGGATTTAAGAAGACAACATGAATTCTCAAGCTATCTTATTTTCTTGTAACTTGAAAGCTACTAAACAGTTTGACATGCCTCTGCAACTCAAGAATGATCATTGATATCTGATTTGATTCTTATTCCCTTCTTTTAGAACATGAAACTAGCTCTGAGATAGAGGAAGATTATTCGGTTGAAGAAGAAGAGGTTGAAGAAGAGGATGAGATGGAAGATGAAGTAGAGAACTCAAGATCTGAATCATCACCTCACATGCACATCAATGGTCATGGGAACAATGATGAAAATGATCATGATGAGGATGACGAAGATGAGGATGAGGAGGATGATGATGACAGTGAAGAGGAGGGTGCAGATATTGGAGTTAAAGAAGATTATCAGAGCAAACAGGTACAACAGAACCCTATCCCTCAGAATGGTATCCATGGAGGAAACCCTAAGATGACCTCATCACCAAGGGAACATCATTTTGTAACCAGGCAACGGGATGCGGTCCCAGTGAAGCAGAATGGAAACATGGTTGCTAGGCAGGATGATGGTGATGAGGAGGAGGAGGAAGAGGAGATTGAGCCTGGTATTATTGGGCCTCTTCATATAGATCATGTTGACTTTATCTTGGATAGCATTGATGCAGAGCTCAGTGATCTTATTACCAAGGTAATTTACTGTGATCAATTAGTTCTCTCATACTCACCATCCTTTTAAAGATTTCAACAAGTATTGAAGGGAATGCAAAGTGGACATGAACTAGTTAAAGGGAAGATAATAGAATGGTATCAAAGATTTAAATAGTCTGTATAAGTTTTAATACTACGTTACACTGATGAGAATGACTCCAGACAGACAATACATGTGTAGACCGAAGAAAAATTATTGAGAGTGGCTAAGATTTCGCTGATTATTGATCAGTTAAGGTCATTTTGGTGCTGTGCCCCAGATTAAAGGCTTTGCTGAACTATCAATGCTCTACCTTTTTAAGATACAGACAGAAACAGATACAAGGCAATGACTATTCATCTTTGTGTTTTGTTTCTTGTGTCTTTACAACTATTACATGTATATTTTCTTTTCACAGAGTGACCGTGGTTCACCAGAAGAGAGGAAGAAGAAGAATCTTACAAAAAAGAAAACAAGTTCCATCAAAGTCTCAGGTTGGTATGAATGACTTAATTAAACCATATTCATTTTACAATTTACCGGTAGAGATTCAGACACCACTCCACAACAGAAAGAAGAAAATACTTAGTACGTGTACCGGTAAGTTGTCCAAGTCACAATGTCAGCTGTGCATGTTTTGGTTCAGCTCAGAGTAGGGATGATGAACAAAAATAATTCTGTAGAGGTGTCGGGGTCGAGTGGATATTTCACCGGACTATCAATCACAAGGTCCGCGGTTCGGGTCCCGCTGCGGCAATAATGTCCTTTGACAAGACATTGATCTACATTTGCCACACTCAACCCAGGTGATGTAAATGGGTACCTGGCAGGAATTAATTCCTTGAAATGCTAGAGCATCGTAATGGTCGCCTTGCTAAAGCCAGGGTAATAATCGGGGCTATATAAGAAGCCACCATTATTATTATTATTATTCCTGATGAAGACAGTTTCTCTTGTGACAAACATGGCAATACTTATTAAATGAATTAGTTACTTAATTGTCAGTAACACATTTTGACAATAAATGAGAATGTTAACATAATTTCCTTGTATGTGGCGTAGAGGGCGCACTTCAAAACGGGCCTCAATCAGCCAACACCACGATGGAGACCACCCTATCTCAGGATCACCAGGTTCAGCCAAACGGGAGATACGGGATGCTTCCAGTCAGAAAAAAAACCAAGAAGACGGGAAAAGGAAGGATGAAGACAAGGAGTCAGCCATCTTTAGCATCCCCTCCAAAATTAAGGATCAACAATTTCAGTGAGTTAATGAGAGAGTTACAGCGATGTGTGTGTTTTTTGAAGAAATTTGAAAATTTGAAATGGCAACTTCTCAATCATTGCCTTTCATATAAACCACAAATTTCACTCAGCAAACCCAAACTCATCATAATTGATCATAAATTGGTCATATCATCCTCAATTCCGTAAGCTCCAAAGGATTTACCTCTCACAAATTGGAAGGCTAATTCCTGCGCAACATAATTTTCATACCCTTTACAAAAGTGAGCAGTGCTCACCCAAGCATGAATTATGTTCGGACCTTTTAGTGTCATATAAAAGTTGAGTTTATGAGCTTTCCAGACATATGAAACTTTTCCCTCAAGAATATTATATTTTTTATTCGGCAGCCATTTCAAAAGTGTATAATTTTTTTTGGGATGCACTGTATATCAAGAGAGTGAAGGATTGCGTGAAATTTTCTTTAGCCATAGAGGTTGACACTTGGCACTCTCTAAATCAGTGGACCAAGTTGACTTAAGTTAATCCATTGACTGCTGAATACTCTTATACACTGTATGCTAAATGCAGGGACCACCCATTTTCCATAAGCAATGGGTTAACATGGGTCTGCTTCTGGGATCATAGGCCTGGGCTGTGTGAATGAATAGCTCCACAATCCATATTGATCCTTTACTAGCTTCTGGCGACCTGTGTAACAAACAGTGCTCTACCACATTCGCTGTTTGTCACACATACTAATATATAGCGCACATATCTACCATGCATGGTGCTCAAGGCGCTCCAACTATTACCCCTGCTCTGCTAGGCAGTCGATTTCGGTGCTCAGAGCATTCAAGGAATTTCTTCCTACCATTACCAATTTAACACCTGGGTGGAGAGTGGCAAATGTAGATTAATATCTTGCCAAAGGACTGTGTACAGGTATAGTATAATCCTAATAATATGGCAGTCTAGGGCTACAAGCAATGGTGAATAGAGAGATAATCAGATACTTTCTATAGCAATCCTTTTCTCATCTTTGGTCCTGTGCATTCCACCACCTGTTGCAGGTATGGATGATTCAGTTGGAACCAACAGTGATGCAGACTCCATCACGGCAGAAGAGGTCAGGAGGAGGGTCGTCCAATCTCTGCATCAACAAGGTAAATTATCAAGTGTCCAAACATTTGCTCCTGTGACTTTTTGATTATATTTCATAAGATATTTAGGATATGGGTAAGGATTTCAATTGAGTTTCCAAGAGATTGATGCCCTAAATTGTGCTCTAATCATTAAACTAAACGTTGAGATGCTATGCTAATTTATGATACAGTACTATTGCGAATGATCAGTATTTATATTTTATTCATGTAAAATCATATTAAAGTTTTAGCAGCTTGTATAACCTGCAGCTAACAGAGTGTTAACCTACACCATTGCAATAATGCAGCTGGAAAAAAACGTTTTTCTTTTACAAGAAAGCAACAAATATGCAGAAAGCTTTAGATCACTTTAGGTACATTTCCATAGCTGATCCACTTGAGATTATATTAAACCAACTTAGAACATATAGTTTGCTTTTCCTATCATGCTTAAACCTCTTCCTATCGCTCACTCATTTTGCAGAAAAATCTAGAAGCAGTTCCCTGCCACCCCATAATCAACTCACATGTAGCCAAGAGTATCATTTAGCTACCACCCCAGCAACTAACCACAACAGCAACATTAACAGTAGCCCTTTGCAAAGTCCACCAACAACTGCCGACAACAGTCCAAACGCTAAGACTGCTGAAGTCAACAACAATGAGGTTGAAACTCGGAAAAGGATGACAGGGGAAACGAAAAAGGGAAGGACTAAACCTGTTGGAAAGACTCAAGAAGGGAGAAAGAAGAGAAGCAGTGTTTCTAGTAATTCCAGCAAGCAATCAAACCGAAAGGTTCCAAGCAGCGAACCTGCCTCGTCGACGCTGCAGCAAGGGTCTCCCGTCAGTGATGTTTCTGGTGCTTTTGGTTCGCGAGGAGATGGTAGTAATCACATCGTGAGGTTAAGAGATATCTTGAACCATTATGGTGATGTCGGTGAGGAACCAGAGAAAGCAGCATCACTGGCAACGGATTACCTAGTCTCACAAGCAGCTGGAGTACGGAACATCAGCGACTTAGAATCAGTAGCTACTGAAGACTTTGAATCAGCCTTCCAGAAGTTTGCCATGCCTGACTCTGCGAGGAGCCACCGAAGTAAAAGACAAGGGAAGGCAAATCTAAAGCAGGGAAAGAATTCAAAGCCAGTCAATGAATCAGCCGCTCAGCAACTTCAGAGAGTGAAGAAGAGCACATCAGAGGATAAAAAGATGAAAAGGACTGTTTCGGCGCCCCCTGTTGAGCCGAGTGGTCTGCCAGAGTACATGTACATGCACAAAGAGGTATCAGAGAATGACGTTGGAGGAGACTCCATGATTACAGAGGATTATGAGGCTCATTTTCTAGCTATCCCTCTCAAGAATATTCAGACAGGTATACCTACTATCTATCTTGCTGCAGATCTGTTATGATTCCCATAATGTCAATAATGATGAAGATAATGATGATGGCTGGGATAATGATGATGATGATGATGATGATGATGATGGTATGATGATGATGATGATGATGATGATGATGATGATGATGATGATGATGATGATGATGATGGTGATGATAATGATGGTGATGATAATGATGGTGATGGTGATGATGGTGATGATGATGATAATGATGATAATGATGATGGTGATGATGATGATGATGATGATGATAATGATGATGATGATGGTGATGATGGTGGTGATGGAGGTGATGGTGATGATGATGATGATGATCATGATCATGATCGATGGTGATGTTGATGATGAGGATGGGGATGATGATGATGATGATGATGATGATGATGATGATGATCATGATCGATGGTGATGATGAGGATGAGGATGGGGATGATGATGATAATGATGATGATGATGGTGATGATGATGATTGTGATGATGATGGTGGTGATGATGATGGTGATGGTGATGATGATGATGATGGTGGTGGTGGTGGTGGTGATGGTGATGATGATGATGATGGTAGCATTGATAAACTTGAATTTAGATTTTGAGGATGATATGTCTAAATCCCAACTGCTCAGTCATCCCCTGCCCCCCCCCCCCAAAAAGCATCATTTTAGTTATTAGTCTGCTGCTTTTGCATTTTATATATATTTTATATGATACTACCAAGTTACATTTTAGATACCTGTTCATGTAGATGGTCTGGAGCTGCAAGTAGCTGTAGCTGTCCATTCATAACATGCTTTGGCATATCTTATAGAACTCATCAAGGGTCACATAACTGTCATTCCAATAGACACTTTAGACACTTGCGGTGCAAACTCTTACTTACACTAATTTAAGGACTACTAAATCTAAGCTGTCATATATATTCTTGTAAAAGTGAAACAAAACAAAACAGAAAGATAGCATGTAAATGACTTTACCGTCCTATGCTAAGTCAAGTTAGTAAGTAAGACAAATAATAATAATAATAATAAATTTAATTTATATAGCGCTAAATACAAATGTCTCTAAGCGCTTTACAAATATATTATTACCCCGGTCATTGGATTCAGTGCTTACCCGCACACAATGTGTGCACAATCTCCACTCCCTGGGGAGCATTCCAGCCAGGCGTTACATGACGCTCAAAAACTGTTTGACCAACAATGACGGTCGCATCCTACCGGGTACCCATTTAACACCTGGGTGGAGAGTAGCAAGTGCAGGTTAATATCTTGCCAAAGGATATTAGTGCCGTGTCGGGATTCGAACCCTCGACCTTCGCATCTCCAAGTCAAGCGCCTTAAACCACTCGACCACGACACTCCCGACTTTATATGTTTGATTACAGTATGAGTGATGAACTTAAGGAACAGATAATATATACTTTCTCCTTCATTAATCACGTAGAGCACCCTGGCGTGACTCCAAAGAAGAGTCCATCCCGCTCTCGCAGGAAAGGTAGCTCCAGAGCTCGTCAGACCCAGCCCCAGAGCGACCCTGAGTCGGTCCAGACCGAAGACTACGAGAAGCGGTTCCATTCCATGATGGTCAGACGTCTGGCCGGTGTACCGCTTTGCAGCTTTGACTCAGTGACCATCCAGAGTGACCTAGATTCGGTCAAGTCGCTGGACATCAAGAAGAAATTCAGGAAGGCGATGCATAAACATGAAAGTAAGTTGGCAGAGAAGTAGGTTTATAGTTATTATTTGTCTGCGCATCCGAAAGGTATGTATCTTAATACCTCTGACAGTTTCATTGTCTATGGTTTAGATATACCTTCCTGAAGTCTTACACAAATAAATTCTCCCAGAAGTTGTGCTCTGTCATATTGATAATAGGAATTCTTAGCAAGATGTACCACCTCCAGCTGAAATCTCTATGCATGACAGATACATACATGTACAACCTCTTGCAATAGAGGGCAGCATTTAGATTACCATCAAGCTCATCCGTGTGCATGAATCAAGTTGGTTGCCCATCCAAAGCATGCAAGCATACATGTATCAAACATATACCAAACATGTTAATTACACTGTTTGTAACTTTCCAAAACAGATGGCAATTAATAAATAGTTTTCATATCAAATGGATATAGAGACATATAAAAGGGTTATTGGTTGGCTTTATCCAATTGACCGGTTGACTAACATAGTCAAATTAAATGCATACTTTTTAAACAAAGGTTCTTGACAACCTGAAAGCTTCTCTGAGGCTGCCTGACATAGCAACAACTAATGTATGCATACTTGATTCTAAGTAGTGTAGTTCATTTAATAATAACATAAAGTTGAATATGTTAGTAAAATGGTCTATTGTCTTAGTTTAGACTAGAAGTTGCAAACTTCCCATGATGGCCTGTTTCCACCTGACCATAGTGTTGTTTCCTCAAGGTGTAGCCCTCCAAATAAAGAATTGCTGCCACTCTCTAGATTTTCATAGCATTTTTCACTGTCTTTATAGATTTCAAGCCAATTAACTACAAACAAAATTATACATACATGGACATGTATCTCTTCAAATTTCATGTGTTCCCCATTGGGACATTGTTGATTTTGTTGATATTAATTTTAGTTTCAGGTACCTCCAGCATTGAAGAGGAGGATATTCAAAGGTCAAAGGTTACACCAAGGTCACATAGGTCAAAGGGCAGTCGGTCAAGCAGTCTCCAGTGTCAGTCTTCAGAGTTGCTCAAAATGAAAGCAACAATGCAACAAACCAAGAAAGGTGAGATTTTTTTTTCTTTTTGAACAAATCAGTCAGTTTGTAGATTTGATCAACACTGGTAATAGATTTATTAACCAACATGGTGGTATGTTGGTGGATGGCTAGCTTTGTGTCTATAACTTGAATGATATTGATCGATTATCCCATGACAGTGTTGTTTTCTCCTTTCCTTTGGTGTCATATGTCAGTGCTGACGATGTGAAATGTTGTTCAGTATGTTTTGAGACTATAATGATATACATTGTTCAAGTTTATTCCAATAATTCTTGCTCAGTAAAATTGGAAATTTGGCTCTGAAAATTTATTTATGATGCCTTTTGAATGTATTCAAATGTATATATTTTAGGTTGACTGGTTTCATATTCCAACATTTGAAGTACAAACTTCTATTGATTTTCAGGTAATCCTCAGGTCATGCATCCACACCATCCCACAATGCATCTGACTTCCCCTGCCCTACACCATTCAAGTATGCCCAACCTCTCCACTGCTGTATTACCAGGGCATAGCCATCCCTCCGTCCAGCCACAGACCTATGCACCACCCCCACCAAGGGACAAGTGGAGGAGTCCACCCAGGGTCAGCCACTTAGAAAGTCAGCCCAGTCCACTTAGAAAAAGGTATGTAGTGACTTGAAACTTCATGCTTTAGAGTTCATTTAATGTCACCACAAATGTGTTTGATTTTTTTATCTAATTTGTATGTTCATAAGAAAGTGCTGTGCTTTTTATTGATGTCTTTTCTTTTTAAATGTTCAAGCTTATCTAGATTGCGAGTCAGAAGATGACAAGAAGGGAATTCTGCTCTCAAAAATATTCATTCTTTGTAAAGGGAGAAGCTGCAGTTGTCATGTGGTGTCCAAGTAGAATATTCAAGAGGGCAAATCGGACCTGAAGTCTCTCTTCCCGACACCTGCAGTATTTCCATAGTTTCGGGTTACATTGACATTTTGGAAGTCAGTGTACCGAGGATGGGGCCATGAATGGTTGATAACGTGAGAGGCCCTAGAAAGAAAGATCCCTTTTACGACAATAAAATGTTTTAAAAATTATCGTTAGAAATCTGTTTGGATCTGAGCAGAATGGCTTCATCCAAAAAATACTATTTATTATTTGATATTTTTATTTTTACAGGGTAGGACAATGAGGGCTGGACTCTTAAAATGAGCACGATTTTTAAAGTCTAATTTTATTAAAGTGATGAACTGTACTGTTTAGTTCAAGTAAAATTGAGATGTGATATTGCCATTCATTAGCTTACATGGGCCTTTTTTGTTAGATTTAATTTTTGTCTGTACATTTACTAATTGGCTTGATATTATCCTGCTCATCGAAGTGCACCTTAGCATGATTATGTTATTTATCTAATTACTTTAAGATTATAATGTCCTGATTATTTACACGTACAAAGGTTAGAAATTTAACAGAATTTGTTGTTTGGTTTCAGATGTGGTTTTAATTTAGTCTAACAAAACAAATTGTCACATGTTGTAAACCTTTCTCCACTGATCGATGTAGGTGGTTGATGGAGACATCTCCGTTCTTTGTATAAACCTCCTTCACTTTCCCTGGTTCTAAGGTTTCTACATTAATGGATCTTACTAACGAATCAGATAAGCCCATTAGTACAAGGTTGCAAGGCAGGCTTATTTTTATCATGTACTATTTAGTTTTTTTCCACTGTTTCTGCTTAATGGCATTGATTCCTCTTGCTTCCAGCAGGAGTGTTACGGTATCATTGTTTGTTTGATATACATGTTTATTCTACACTCATGAATTTGATTGTGATGGTTATAAAGAGTAGAAGCTGAAGGAATAATTCAAGTAAATCTGGTAATAATGATAACGATAGAAGAAGTCGAGTAGTACGGTAGTAGAAGTACAATAGTAGTAGTATTAGGAAGAGAAGGAGAAGTGGTGTTAATTATAAAAATAGTGGTAGTAGCAGTAGTAATTAGTTTCTCATTTCTTGAATAATTTTCACAAATCATCTTTACATCAGTTTTAAAATATTTAATACACCATCTGCTGCATTGTTTTTCATCAATGTTCCCATAATGACGTGCTGTTTGTGTATTATTGAGACTGCAGATAAGTTATATCCGAATTCATGATACGAGAGCAAACCCTCTTTCATGTGGGTGGTGATATTATTAAAGCGTAATGCAACGGCAGCCCCAGTGGAAACTTGCTCTTCATCGGGCAGTCTCTCACACTTTCCCTGTAAACTATATCCTCCTCCATATTCACCACACCATTCCACTTTGTGAGGAGTCTCCATGGGATCATCTAGCTTCTGCTGGTGTAATGGAGTTATATCCAGTCCCGCGAGGATCTAGCAGTGAAATAGGAGACATCTCAACTAGGCTCTCCCAATTCTTGGGGCAGGGCAAGTAGATGAATTAGGGCGACATCAATTCATTAAGATGTAATGAAGATGAAATTAATATGATGGGGGGCACAAAATAAAATGATGTATGATGAGTTTAAGAAAATGTTAAGTTGTTTTTGAGTGGTTTATCAGAATCAATACTTCTTGGGAAACTGGATATTGAACCCCTCAGAACACAATGAATATAGATATACTTGTATGCATAAATCAGTACAAAGCAGAAGCACTGAGAAATTCTCTTGGTGAAGCTCTATGAATCATAATCTTTAGAAAGAATATTTCTTTACTTAAGTTGCAGATGTTGAAATTTAAATTGCATCCATTAGTGTGACTCTTTTGACAAAAATAATGAACGACAGGTGAAAAGGTAAGTGGGTGGTAACAAAATACTAGGTCTTCTTCCAAAGTCTTCAGTTTATATTTGAGTTGATTTCTTAGCTAGATACCATATGTGTAAAGCCCTTGGCTGTAATTACATCAGCCAAGTGACTAGTATGCTTCAAATGAAGGTGGAGACTTGAGACAGAGAAGAGTATCAAAAATAAATCCTCAACGAGGAATCCACTTCTTAATGATGTCATTTGGATGAAACACGGAGGAGAAAGCAGACGTCATCACAATAACGGAGCAAGAAACCTTCTTATGAGATCACGTCTACTACCGGCTCTGTGTGGATGGATGGAGCATAGCAACGTGGTATCCATAGGAGGAGAGGGAGATCACTGGATGAAGACAAGGATTCGGACCATTTGACAAGTGAGTGAAAAAACATTTTTTTTATATCCAACCGTCCATCTCAAAATCATTAATGATTATTGCCAAGTCACATTTTGATGAAAGGCTCTTTGGACTAATCTATGTTTGTATCACTACAACATTTTGGTAAAGGGGTATATAGATAAATTAATCAATAATCATTGATAGACACAAGCTTTAAAAAAAATGTTTGTTAGACTATATTTTGGGGTTAATAACATGGATAAAAAGAAATTAAAGAGTTTACAGCACTGTAAAAATATAGAATAGCATTGAGGTTATTAGCTTTATTATAATTTTGCTAAATACCCCCCTGGTGATAGTTTGTGATTTTGAGATGGATTGTTATCTTGTGTGATTGATATATCTGTTGTAAATATGAGAGGTATATTGTTTGATTGTTTTTTATTCAATAGTTGTATGCTTTTACGATTTTGGATAAAAGATTCAAATGCAAGCACACCTTTTCAGAATGTGTCTATTGGTGAGATAAGAAATGTTTATGTGGATCCATAAGCTTTAAAGCCACACTGTACTACTTGTAGCTACGTGCTCCCTCTATATAGAAAACAATGCCAAAGCGATGCCTGTTGGTCCCCCATGATCCTCTTTTTTTATGTTAATTGAGAGCTGAATAGATGAGATAACCACCTGTCAGTGACCTTGCTGGGTGGTCTAATCCCTATTTAGCCTTGAGGAGGAGCTGAACTCTTGTTGATTGTTTTCCTAAATTTCCTGAAGTGGTTGTTGGTATGAAGACTATCATGTTACATGGGTTGTCTTAAGGCTTTTTTGTTGTTTTATTTTATCATGTTTAATTTAATTTTTTGCATTCAGCACATTTTTCTTTTCTTGAGGTGTATATTTTTAAGCCACCATAGTCGTACAATTCTAGTTAATAATGTGACCTTGGAGTACCTTTCCCAAACCATGATTTTAGTCCCCCCCCCCCCCCTTATACAAAACATGAACATTGTCGTTAAAAATGTCTTTAAACAACGTCTTTCTAATATACAAAAAGAATTCAACTTTCTGCCTTCAGGAAACAACTTTTGTTCTTTTATTATCATAACTTTGTTCAATCAATTTCTAAGCTTTTCATAATGCAATTAATACATAAATTCTGTGAAACAACAAAAATGTACTGAGAGCAGCGACAAACAGTTTCATCTTTCTATTTATCTGTCTTCAAATGACTGTAACATTAATAATCTTCACACAATCCTCTTAGTTCATATAAGGAGGCTTTATTATGTAAGTAGGCTTATCAAAGGTCCTTGTTTTTTAATTTGTTTTTTATAAACTGCCAGTCATGCCATACTAATTATCTCTGATGAGAACCATATAGACTGTCTCGCACATTCATCTTCGAGTGGGCCCTTAACTTATCCTACACCATTGGGTTTGAATCATGTCCAAGAACTAATTAATTATATTTTCATTTTAATGAGTAAAATGTTTTAAATGGAAGAAGCAGATAGCTTTTAACATAAACACGTATATGTGTATATCTCCACGGTTGTTTCATTATTTCTACTTCACTTGTCTATTTTTTCGTCAACCGCCGCAGGACTATTTTCATTCTTACATGACAGTCAGATGTCAGCATGCTGTCAAAGGCATGTGTTCATGAAATCAATTTCAAACATAAAATATCATGATAGAATTTGTACACTCTGTCATAATCTATTATTTGCACATGTATGAGAGAAACATTACAGCATGCAAACAATAATTGAATTTCAAGTATAAAGCATGTGTCCGGATGCATTCAAGGGCATTTAATTGTTTATGAGATCAATTTCATGCATCATTTATTATTTGCATCAATGATGTGAAGAAGCCTTGTACTTCAACAAGTGAAGCTTGCTACTGTTTCATTCGTGTATCTCGCCTTAAGGGGACTGTTAAATGTTTTCTTTGAAATAATATGGTGCAGTCCAGGAACTGACATATTAAAAATATGTGAAAAGAGTGCAATTTTCATACTTTGTTGTTGATGTCAGGTTTGAGACCCTGATATGGTAGGTGGAAGACAGAAGACAGATTGCTCTTTTACTCCTTTAACCAAAATAATTTTCCTGAGACTTTCCAAATGTGTTTCACCCAACTATATCTACAAAATGTGTGCATAATCCATCCACTTACTTGCAAATGTGTCACTTGTGAGTTTATGATTGGAGTGTAGACTTATAGAATATAGATATGTCATTGTGGTATGGTTACTCTGTATGCGAAGGAAGAAACAGTAATAATTGAAATGGCTTCAAAGTATGGTCTTGAGACACGCCATCAGCTTACATTAAATAGTTTCAATAGTTCAATATATTCAGAAATTATCCATACTTGTAAGTTAACACATTGCCTATGGGAACCTGGCTTTTCCTGTACTAATGCCACGGATATGACATAATTCAGTAGTATATAGGTTAAACCTTAGTTCCTGGATATGAGTTAACACCCTTCGGGCTCTATCTGTAAGTCTTGTTAGACCAGCTTGGTATAATCAGTTGGC